CTTTTAATAGCAGGTATTATGGCCTGTGATAGTGAATGATACTCCAACCTTGCATTTTGTGACTTAAAAAACCTGCTACAGCTTGCCTGCAATACTGTGTAGTGTGTTGTGTGTCCTGCTGCCTGGCTAGTGGAGAAGGGCTGTTTCATTCAAGCTACAGCTGCTCAGTTGGAATGATTTCGGGCTTATATAAATACTTCCCTAAGTTCACATTTTTTCCTGTGATGTATCCAGATCAGTTTATTTTAATTAATGACCAAACATTCTCCCATTTAATATCATACCCCAATTTTAAGGAAAAAATCAGGAGTAGCAGTCCTGCCAGAAACAGTTACAAATGACTGCATAGCTCTTAGCTATAGCCCAGGAGTCAAGGAAGATCCTTAGATAATGAAGCCTGTTCTTAGGTAAGCCAAAAGTTCATCAACTTTGTAAATCATATTATGTATTTTGAGTTATTCACAAACAGTTCAATTCAGATTTTATTTGGACATTACATAGATTCTTAGCAAGGAACCAGTATCTTTGAACTAGTTCAAAGAATACAGTGAAACACAGAGTCCAGGAATGGTGAACTGCAAGGGAGGGGAGGCTTTAAGAGGACTGTATTAAGTCCTATGGAAAAGGGTATGCCCTCAGGTTTTGCATCCATGCAGTATTTGTGGTAATTACTGGGATGAGAATGCAAATACTACTTAAAGTATATGAGCCAGATGGAGCACTGTCTCCAGTAAGTACATAACAAAACACTGCAGGAAACAGCAGCTACCTAACTAGGCAGCAGGAAAATGAAAAGATAACTGTATGAAGTGACAGTGAAAGAAAAAGAGAATTAAGTCTGACAATTGTCTTAGAAGAAGATAAATGACTGGGCACTGTCTGGCTCTGAGAGAGGTAAATATCATCCAGAGAGCAGGAAAGTCCAGATTCCTAAAGACAGAAGGAAGGGAAATTCTGAAAGTCCACTTAACCCTGTCTGCAGGTTAGATGAACTGAAATGCTAATAAAGATGCACTCAAGCAGGGTTCTGTCATCCTCTTATCATGTCCTTTGAGAGATACTACCGGTGGAATGACTGCTTCCCAGCTTTGTCAGCCCTGTCAGGGTTTGGTAGCTGGTTCTGTTCTCAAAGTATTATTTAATCTCAGCATTAACCTCGTTTTGCTTCACAGAACACAAACTTGGGCCAGTGGAGCACGGCTGCTTTTCAAAGTTCTGAGGAAGAAAATAAGTTTTTTAGACTGATGGGTGGCTTTAAAAAGGGTTCTGTGCCTACCCAAAATCTCTCAGCAACTACAACCAAACCAAACATGGCTCTCAACAGGGAAGAGGAGGAGAAGTTACAGCAGACTCTGAAGATGGAATTCGATAAAGCAATGGACTTGAAACAACATAGAGGAGTTGGTCTTGGATTTCAACCTGCTGCCAACAAAAAAGTATACATAGACAAATACAAATCTAGATCTATAAAATTTGAAGATTAAAACTCTGGCGTAATAAAAGGAATAAAAATGCAACAGGCAAATTTAACTTGCCACATCTTTTAAGTTGAAATAAAATACAAAATGTTTGAGAAATTCGATTTATGAGGCACTTTCAGTACAAGTTTTCAACTGCATATACCAGATTATGTGGAGCTGGGTCCTCACTTCAGCTGAACAGTAAGTTTTTGAAACCTTTATGTTTTCTACAAGGCAAAAACCTTCTGCCAAGACTGAAGATACCCAGGCAATGCCTGCAACAAGCTGAAACACATTTTTTTTTTTTTACTTGCTGATTTCATAAACATCTTACCTGCATCTTTGTGATTCAAAACCAATTTAGTATTCTGTAAAATCTTCAAATTTTTGCACTCAGTGAGTGGTAGACATTCAGAGTGTTTTACTTTGAATAAACACTATGAACGTGCCTACGAATTTGATGAGGGGAGACTTGAAACTCAGGAAGTAGTTTCTTAAATGTTAGCATCTTCATTACAATGAATAGCATTGAACATCCTCTGTATTTCAGCTATGCTCTGGCAGTTGGATTTCAAGCAGCAGCTGTTCATCTGTAAATGAAAAGTAAATACTTTCTGGATAGCAACACCAAACGGGGATCTAGACTTCCTAAATTATAGAAAGCAAGGTAATTTCAATAATGTGCTTATTGGATTCATTGTACATCAATCTGAATGAAATTTCTAACCTTTGATAGACAACCTGCATTCTCAATGGCTTTTTAGTAAGAGCACAAAAGATGACAGTGCACTTGGGAATCTTGTGTTCAGAGTGCAAGGGGCCAAAGCAATCTTGTTTGAAATTACAAAAATATAGTGAAAAGCTGTCATGTGTTTTATTACTGCCTGTGCCATTTGTTCAGGAGACAGTGTTAAGTTTCACTGTAGCTCTGGTTAAGCAGAGCAAGGTGTCCAAGCCTGCTGTAGTATAATAATGGTCCACTTGCAGGGGGACCCCACCACGCCAGAATTAGGTTACTATTTCTTATGTAGCTCATTGTTTTTCTAGCACTTTAACTATGCTGTTTGGTAAGATCACACCAACTGATTTACTAAACTTCCTGCTCTTTTAAGGCAACCTCACTTTCCATAATAGTCTTTTCCAGTGGACCACTCTACCTGAAAGCAGCTGCCTCCAGCAGAAAATGCACTTAAGAAAACAGTTGGTTCCAGTGCTTTTTTGGGCAACTCCTGAGAGACTGTGAAAATTACACAGAGGCTCCAGCTTAAGGGTTTGCCATAAATCCATTCCCATACCTGGGAAGAGGGAGATACTGAAGCACTTTCTGCATGGTCTGAACTTGTCTTTGAGGAAACTTATCTCCTTGAAAGTGTTATTAAAAACCACTCCTCCCCTCAGGGTCAGTCCATTTGCCACCAGTGCTCTCAAAGCTCAGCAACTGGCTTCATCCAGCTCTTCTAGACTTCAGCTGTTGCTTTACTGACATTCAGGTAGTGGAGGTTCTCTTTTCTGATTTAAGACAAATGCTGAATTCAGACCCTCAGTTACTTGCCTGGAGAAAAAGGAAAAAAAAAAAAAAGTTAAAGGAACAAATACAAAAGTGTCAACTAGGGACAGCATGTACTGCTTTCTGCTGCAGTCTTGGATGTGTAGTGACTGGTCTTGCACTGATGGAGCTGCTGAAGGTGATCTAAGTCCTTGTCTTTGGATAAGGACTCTTTTCCCATCTAGAATTGCATACCAGTGTGTTGCTTGAGTGTAACTTTGTGGATGGCCTGGCACCTTGCCCTTGATAATACTGTGTACATTAAAATGCTGTGATTTGAAAAACAAGAGACATGCCTGGGAGAAAAACTGACAGCTTTTTTCAAGCAGTCAGACTTGATCTGGCCTGTGTATTTACTATATACAGAAGAAAGAAGACGTCTGTAATAAGTAGAGTGCTTTAACTAAAAATTCTGCTCTAACATGGAAGTAAGCCAAAAGCAGTTTGAGAGGCTGCTTTAGCTTCTAAGCTAGATGTTTATAGTTTGCTCCTGATAACTAACCAGAGCTTTCTGCCTGTTGTAGAGCTATTTTTGCACTAATAAAAACAGCAGTAAAACATCTGAAAGCATTTATCATGGCGGTCTTGCATCAGTAAACCAATGTGTACTGTGCTCAAAAGATAACAGACAAAAATTGATGTCTGCAGAGGGAAGAGGAAGGGTTGGGACACTGGTAAGCCTGCCGTAAGAGTTTGCATTTTGCAAAACCTGCATCAACACCTTTGCCCCTGGAGGGCAATTCCTGCCGTACCACAGCTGCTTGGTGGGACCCACTTGGTGGTTTAGGGAGCTCAGAGTTTAATCCCACTTACCCAGTTTGTGGTTTTATGTTTCCAAGCCCAACAGGAAGAATAATCTACATGCTGTTGAGAGATGTTTTATGCAGCTGCAGCAAGAAGGAAAGCTACATTAAAGTGGGAGAGGATAACATGTGCAGTACTATGCTTTCATTATCTTTGTGTGCTTTATACAGATTTAAGGAAACACACTGTAATTAGCTATGCACTAAAGGCTGGAGAGGTTCTGTATCAAGTTGATACCTCTTCACAATTATCTTCTATTCCTGCAGTTTTACTCTGCTTACATATATACGCCAAAGGGTCCTAGTTCAGTTCTTTACAACCTTAACACAAAATACATAATTTTAGATTTACCCTTCAATAAGCACCAAGGAGATGAAAAACAAAAATAATGGCTTAATAATCTGGGTGGTATTTATTTACAACGTGCTAACCCATTAAGTATATGGGTCTAACAAAACATTACTTGTTTAGCCTTAATAAAATATTTTTGTGCAAAAATGTATCTTCATATCTATATGAGGATTTAGGTCATTCAAATACATACTAAGCAATAGATGCAAGGTCTCAACATGGTTCTTTACCATGGGACAGAAGTGGTTGAGAGTTAAATTTTTGAAGGTGTAACAGCAGTACAGGAAAACAAATTCCACAGGGGTAAGGTGATAAATTTGCATATGCAAAGAAACGCCCCCAGAACCAGCAGATAAACTGCACATTGTTTTATTCCATGTTTCAGTGCACGTTCCAAATACATTTCCATTTTCCTTTGCAGACAGCACGTAAAGACTTCTTCAGTTTTATAAAACTCCACTGAGCTAAAATGAAAGCATAAACGTGTCCATGAAAATGCACTGTAGAAATTAATACAGTAACACCCTGGCCATCCTTCTCCTTTACTGGAACTGACCAGACAACTGTTGGCAGCATCCCAAAGCAGAAAGACTCAGTAGGATTATGGTATTTCAAAGCTGCTTTCTACAGAGGAGAAAGACTATTCTGCAAGTGGGATGAAGTTCGGAGGCTGTGAATTGATCCGTGCAGATAATCTTCCTTTGTTACTAAAATGACTATAGATTAGATTTGGAAAGGCTCTTGCAACCAGGGAGGTTCAAAATACTGACTGTAAATCAGCATTTAAAATAAGAATATAGCGATAAACTGGAAAGAGAAATTCAGGTTAAATTATTGCACAGAACAGTTTTACTTGCATCCAGGTAAGTCTGTAACACTAAGTAAAATACAATTAACTCCTCCAGTCAAAATCTATGTCAGGGGCTTTTGGCCTTGGCTACATGCTCCCATGTACAGATGACTCCTTGGAAAAGAGGCATTCATCAGGTCCTGGATGCCAGAGGAAGCCGAAGGGCCAAGTCTGTGAAGTGACTCATTTCAGGCTGCTTGCTTCGCCTCTTGATGTATTCTAGTGCTTTGACCTGGGTATGAAAATAAATATTTTTATATTTTTAGTGTCTTTGTCTCTTGTCACTTAATTCAACTGATGTGAAGGTGTTTTAAAACAAGACATTCATGATTTTCTTTAAATTTCACAGGCTTCACGAGCACTTGCATTTCCTACTCTGAAGCTTGTTATTCTGTATTTCTCTAAAAGGCTCTGGAATGCACTTTCCAAGCTTAGACCATGCAGTTCCAGTTTATTTTACAGATAAAAATGCTGTATTTCTCTTGAAGACAGTTTTCTGTACTGAACAAAGCTACAGCACTCAACATCTCCAGGTTCTTTAATGTGTGAAATACATTTAAAAGTGCTAGAAAGACACAGACCACTTGAAACAAGAAAAGCTGCTTATTCCTTAGGAAGCATTTAAATTATAAGTTAAATTATAATTATAAGAGATCAGGTTTATTCAGATCAAGAAAAATCTACCTTTTCCCAAATGAGTTGAAAAAGATCTGGAATTCATCTGTATTATCTGTTTTCCTTACCATGGTCTCAGTGTCGGCAAAGCCATGTTTCTGAGCAAGATTCCAGAGATTGACTGAAAGCTGGTTTAGTTTGTTGTTCCGCAGATCCCCGTGAGCTAAAATAGTGTTAAAGAAATAGAGGGCCAACTGGCTCTGTCGCTTCAGGGTCTATAATGAAAAGAAATTCCAGTATTACCATACAGTCAGCCCAAAACATCTGGTATGACCTCTCTGGGTTCTCTAAACTCTCAGAAGTGCAAGGCACAGATGCTCATTCTGCAACACAGCAATAGTTACAGACACAAGAATACGGGCATAATTTCCATTCAAAATGCGACAAGGAGTGATAATAACGAGTCAACCTAAGTTGCTGTGAATAAAGTGATTACACTAGACTCTTACATCTCATTCCACTTTGCCACAGCACAGTATGTAGCTCTGACACATTTTTAACTGAAGACTCCCTACAATTGTCTAGAAATCACCCTCCCACCAACCAACCTTGCATTTACAGCACCATGGCTGTGTATTTTTTAGAGAGACCACAATCATCAATCTAGATTAATGCAACTTCAGGCTATCTCCAGCAGTCTGTTCTACTTTTATTTATTTAACCATTTTCCCCCTGCTATTCCCTCACTGCAACTTTGGTGATACCAACATACTCGCTCCATATTTGCAGCTACTTTGCCTAAAGATGCTGAGGAGCACCCCTGCTTCATGGTAATCTACCATGGAGGAGCACCAGACCCTTTGGCCTCTACAGTATTCTTCTGGGGCACAGACAATCCTGCAATAAGCTTACAAGGTGCTACCATCCTGACTTGGGGCGAGAGGAAAATGAAACTAATTAAAATGCTATTTTAGATTCTGTCTACTACAAAATGAGTTTTAAAAGGTTAAAAGGATGAATTATTATTGGATACATCTCAGACGTAGTGTTTATTTATACTGCTTTCCTGCAGTGACATTTGCCAGACATCTATGTCATAAGGACACCTTGAGCCTTCTGTTGGAAGAGCACTTGTGCCTTTAGATGCGTTGCTGCTCTGAAGGTGCATCTGCAGCTGCTCCCACAAACAGCTTTAACATAACTGGCTCTGACACTTGCTAACAGTCCATCTGTGGCAGCACAGAGCTCAGCATGGGCTGAAAGGCTCCTCCAAGGTACTAAATATATCAGTCTGGGTCAAGTCTGCACACTGATACTGCATCTGTTTGCTAGCATTACCTGAACTATCTAGCCTGAATTTAATTCCAGCGTTACTATGATGCTGGTGGTTACATCCTTGTGATCCAAATCTAAATATTCCCAAAGAAAGCCATGACAGGCAGCCTTGCCTTTCCTTAACAGCTCTCACATGAAGCCCTTTGGGAACCTTCTAACATCTGCTAGCTCACTGGAAAAGATCGTAAATGCCATGAGACAGAGCAGGTTTTCCACTTGTCATTACACACCTGTCCCACCATGGGACAAATGAAGCACCAACAGAGCTCATACGAGTCCATTCATGATAAAAGGACATAATGATCAGAGAAAACATCAAGAATCAAGCTGCAGCTGGGAGCTCATGTGAGCATATGACAGGATGTGTATGCCTTATTTCACCACTCCTCTAGCACACAGAGATGGTCAGAAGATTAAGTGCTTTCTTTTGGAAACAACCCTTGAAAGAGCAGTCCAGAACCTCCCTCTGGAGCAAGGAGTCTCAGTGACAGCTTCTGCTGGCTCAGGGTGCAGTCACACACCTCTTAATGGCAGCTTGAAACATTTTGCTCCTAGTTCTACACTGGTACTCACACAGAGAACTCCGTCCAACTCCGCTTCAAACACATGTGAAATCAACTGAAGTTTTTGTAAGCTTAAATAAAACTAAAAATCAGTTGTGTTAAAAGGAGAAGCCTCAAAAACACAATCAGGAATTGCTTTCTACTGCTCCATTTTTGATACTTTAGTATAAAAAGTCCAGGATCTATGACATGGTACCAGGGAAGACGGCCATCCTAACATGGCACTGCCAGGGATACAACATGCTCTTAATGCTTTTGGATCAAAACAGGTGGTGTTTGAATAAAACAAACTCCATCTGGACTTCTATCACTTAGTAGCAAAAGGCTATTTCTAAGAAACCTGGAGCATAAGATTAGTCTTTCACCCACACAAGAGAGGATTCACTGATACGTGAAACAGCTACAACTTGCCAGAACTGTCCAGAACTGAAAATGTCCCTTCAAGTATTTAACATAAATGAAACATTCTCTAATACTGTGAAAAGACCACACTGTGTCAACACAAGATGCGTTGTTCTCTTCCAAATTGCCATTTTGGTGAAAGCATTTTCTTGCGAGAAAAAGTTATTTTCCTGTATAGCTTTTAAAGGAAACAAGCCAATAAAAGCCCAGTATCATCAGAGGTTTGTTCATTTAATAAGCAGCCAAGCAGATTGATAATAAAAGGTCACCAACACTGACGCAACCCAAATATCACAGAGCTTTTATGATAGGTTCTACCTGAGCACAAATGAAGGTCTCTGACAATATTCTCATTGCCTCTTTCCTCAGCAACAACAGCTTCCTCAAAAAAACCCTCATTCTTACAAAACAATTTAGTCTAAATCTCTCAAGGACTTTTACTCAACAAAGCAAAACAAATGCTCCCCTTCTTTGTAAATAAGGATGAATGGAGGAGTAAATCCAAGGCTGCAGAGGCAAAGGCAGAGCAAGGACCTATATCCATGCTGCTTAGCTTTAAATCCAGTTTTCTATGCAGTAACTGCTTCAGTGAAATAACACAGGATCTCATCACTGCTTGAAAGCAGGGGAAAAAAAAGCCAACAAAAAACCCCAAAAAAAGTCTTTCAGAAACTACAGATTTCAAGCCCTATGAACATTCCCACCCACATACTCAATATAGGAGTAAGATGCAAAAAATCCTCAGAATACAACTCACAGTCCTGACAATTCTGTTAAAAATCTCCTTCCAATACCCACTTGGACATGCTTAGCTGTGCAAGAATGGTTGTTTTATGCTATCACTGTTCTGAAAAAGAACTGCTGTTCACTGTAGTGATGTGTACAATGACATAGAGGTATTTGAGGAAAGGATTAGTTCATCTTACATCTCTACAATTGCTCAAGGAAGGATAAGCAGAATAGCAAAAGCAGAGAAAAGGCTAAACTTAGCATAGTGTCCTCCAAATATGTATCACTTAACATGTTTTGTATTGGCAAACACAACAGGCTACTGTGCAAACAGGCTATCTAAAAAATTCCATTGAATTAATCATCCTCTGCTCTCCCATTGCAGTCAACAAGCCACAGGATTTCCATTGTTACACAGCAGATGAGCAAGGGGTGATTAGGGAGCTGTGGAGGGCTTCAAACTCAGAAACAGGTACATGAGCAGAACACTAAGTTCTCATTATTTCAGTGACACCAAAAATGTTAGTCACCTGCTTTCACATACAATCCATTAACCTGTATTTGATCTCTCAGAGCCTCTGAACTCCAATCAAGAAATTCAATATGCTGCCTGGAGTTTTCTTTATTTTTACTGAACAAATATAATCCTGTACTAAAAACAAAGTGAAGCCAAAACACCCTCTTCCCTCCCTCTGCATCTCTCTCCTGACTTCATCCTAGTGTCTGGGATTCAAATCTTTCACCAAGTAAAGGCGGTTTACACTGCATTTTCCTCAGTAACAGACTAACTGAATTCTCACTTTTCCCATTACAGTACTGGATATTCTAGAGTGCTGTTAATTTGCTAGCAAGAAAATATTTTATTTACAGAGAGAAAAAGGTGACAGGAGGAAACAACACAAAGGACAGACGTGGAGCAGATTTTAGGCATAACTCTGCTGTAATCAGAGGAGTGACCGTGGCACTGTCTCCAGCTCTCTACCTTAGGCCAGTAATTGTAATACCAGCATCATGGAGCTCATTATAGGCAGAGAGACTCTCACAAGAAAAAAAAGTCATCCCACACTAAGCACCGTGTTTCCAAAACCAGGCTACACTAGGACTCCAGCCAGTTGATTAAAAGCTAACTCTTACCTCACAATGCTACTCTGCAGTCACTGATCTGTACTGCAGCAGAATCACACCCGTAGTGCCCTGCCACAATCACACCATGGGGCACACACCACAGCATACTGCTCCTTGGTGCTGGCAGACCATTCATGTGCAGCACCAGCTAAGCAGGTGACTTTAGTCTGCATCTTAAAAACATATTCTAACTGCTACATGATTGCTTTTACATCATTAGGTCCTTCCACCACAAGCCTGCCTATGTGATAGACTCACTTTTTAAACAAGTAAAAAAACCTCATTTCCTCACATTTTAAGATTCCTGGAGCTTTCTGAAAGACCAATGCCTAGTGAAGAAGGCAGTCTGCTTATTCAACTTCAAAGTAATTTCAGTTCTGTATTGAATTAAGCTGCGTAAGAACATACCTCCTCTTTTCCAAGGGTTTTCAGATGATCCAGGATCTGTGCTATCACTGTTTCACACAGTTTATTAATTTCAGCCAGGAACTTGGAGTCTCCACCATACAGGGTATCATTGGAATCAACTGCAGAGATTAATTCAAGCTTAGGGCTGGCTAAAGAGTTATGCATTTGTTTGCTACTGAAAACAACAGCTATTTATAGAAGACCAGATTTGGAAGTTAAAAAATGACCCTCCCTCCATGAAACACAAACAAAATAATCTTGTTTAAGTGCTTACCACTTGGTTGCCTACTATGTCCTCTTGCTTTTAGGCACAAAACACCAAAGTCACAGATAAAAATTAAAAAAGTTTATTTTCAATTTCAAAGCCCTTAAAGGAATTAAATTTTAATTGTACAGAAGTGAGCTCTTGAAGTTTGTAGAGCTTGTATAATTGTGATTTTAAATACGATTTTTTGGCCTCATTTATGTTTTACTAAGAAACAAGTTACAAGACATTTGTAAGTTTAAGTGTATTCTGGGTAAATCAGAGAGCACATAAATTAAAAGGTGAACCTGTGTTTCCAAGTAAACTTCATTTTAAGAAGCGAAGGTACATGGTTCACCTAGGAAAAAAACCACATCATCCAACTACAGGGGGGAAATTAGTAATTTATATTGCCATGCTTTTCTCCATTGCAATTTCTCATCTGGGGATTATGCAGTTATTTTGGTCATATATAAAACTGAATGAATGAAAAAGCAGTTAACTGTGTTTCCTTACAGAATTTGAACAGTAGATTTACTGTAGAGTAGTTGCTCAACTGACAAGTATTTTCTGTGCTGCTAACTGCAAGATACGGTTTTTGTCATGGTTGGTAACTCTGACAGACTATTCACCAGAAGTGTGGAATATATTCCAGGCTGCTTCTGTGAAAGCCCTGTGCAAGTAAAAGAAAAAGCCAAACTAGCTTGGCCTCTTAAAATAACTAACCTTGCCAGGATGTTTTAAAAGATTCAGTTAATACTCTACCTTAATTTAATAACCTCTCTATGATCAAAAGGCAAATATAAATATTATTACAAAAATAAAATGCAAAATCTTTAGATTTTTTTTTTAGCTATTCTGAAGATTTTCATAAGTTACCACAATTTCCAAAGCTGAAAGCCTGTCTTCAAAGCAGCAAATACATAATTTAAATAATCAAGACTAGGCATTTCATTTTGAAAGCTGTAATTGTTCATAAATGCAGACAAACCACCATCAGTAAGTATAAATCAAGTTAACACTTTAGACTAAAAGAAAACCCTCCATATGTATCAAGTTCTAATATTTACTTGAGAAGTTTACATTTCTAAGTATTTGCATCAACACCACCAGGAACAAACTAAGTAAACCACCCTGCACAGATTCACTTTAAAGAACAGACTGCACATCTGTTTGGCATCCATCTCCTGTGATTATGTGAAGTTACAATATTTGGATCTGCAGAGGAAAAAAATCCATTCTGTAAGACTGACTACCAATGGTCTTCATTAACTAGACTCGGGGATAACACAAATTGCATGGTGGAATGCAAGGATCCAGAGCCACCCCCAGGTATTACCTTTATCTACATGGTAGATGTATGCTTCTTGAGTCATTGCAGACAGCAGATGTAAAACATTGGTATAAATCCTGACTTTGTCATCACTGTTATCCTCCCAAGTATAATCCTGGATCACATTTAGTAATCCTCGCACAAGAAACAACACTCCTTGTTCTGGATGGTCCTTCAGAAAAGAGATAAATCAAATCCAACAACACAACACACCAAAACAAAGAATTGAATTATTTGTGGTCATTCAGGGGTTTAGAGCCACAATATTAGCTCTTTAAAAGCAGAAACTACAATACAGTTTAAGCTGACTACTCTTCTGAAGTGTGCTTCCTACAAGTTCTTTTAAAAAGTTGTTTCAGTTTCCTTCTAAAATGCCCATTTGACCCATAATCACAAACTTGAACTCGACAGCCTCCACAAACTTTGAAATGCTTTGTTTTCTAGTCAGGGAGGAGTAGTACAAAAAGAATTGTCTGCTTCTTAACAGCTAGGCTTCTAAAATTAAACACACCGGGTATGATTTTTTTAATTAAAAATGTCAGTAAGCTATAGAAACAAGTATATTACTCATATAATTATGAGTTTCAGAAGAACACCTACTCTGGGAAGTCAAAGGTACAGACAATCAACAATCTTTTAATATGAAAAGAATATAATTATAAAGACATCTGCTTTACATAAGCTATGAGGGTTTTTTGCAAGTACTTTGAATACTGCACTCAGCTTATTTGAAGCAGGCAGTTGGTGCAATCATACCAACAAACTTAGGATAAAACACAGCCCACTGGGGACATTTCTTTCTGATCATGTATCCTGTAAAGTGAATAGGAGAAAAAAATATGGAAGCTAATTTCTGAATCCTGGTTATTTAATTGCAAGATATTTTTATTACTGAATCTGAGAGGCTGGACCACCCTCCTTTAGTCATCTGTTAATGACCCCAGTAATTTCTCTGAGTAGCCATGGACAACCACCACACTTGACAGTGGTAACCAGCCTTTCCCTTCTAACAGAGCACCTCCCCAGTGCTGAACATGCATGGCTTGGGAGACCTCTTCCACTGGAAAATGGAGAATAGACTGCTCTGATATTGAGCATTTGGACAGCATAAAACTGTGTGCTGCTGCACCAAATATAGTCAAAGAAAAAAGGAAGGTGGAAACTGCAATAAATGTTTCAGTGAGGAGGAACCATCTACTTTCTCCGAGAATAAATTAATAAACATCAAAGAGTTCATTTTCTAGTTATTGTTTTCACTCCAATGATTAGACAACCTGTAACAAAGAAACTAACTGAAACTGAAAGAAACTAGAGCTCTTTTACCCCCTCCTCAGGTGTTAGATTCTGCGTGCTCAGCTGAAACACCACTTTTAACAGTAAATTAGCAGTAATTCAACAATAACACCACTTAAAACAGGAAGTGATGTTTGCACGGTTCAGTGATGGCTAGATTTCACTCTACCCTGAATCCAGTTAAGTGCATGATGCTACTGAGAGAGGCAATGCTGGATTCCCCTCCCCCACACACAATTGTTCTGCCTCCCCATTTTTCACTGGGGTGAGGGATTTTGCAGCTAATGAGCAAATGGGCTCAGCTTCCTCATGGAAAACTAACCACTGCATCTACCACTCTCAAAAGCCCAGTCTACTTTAAATGTTTAAGCAGGAAATTCAAAACAATCCATGTGGCATAGCCAGCAGCCAGTGTGCTGCTCATACACACAACTTACCGGAACAACCAATAAGGTGGAAAAAAAATTACAAAGGAATTCCAGCAGGAAGGCATCAGAAGGTCTCATCTTTCCGTCTACACTGATCATTTTTGGCACTTCAGGAACAAGGCTCACTGCAGCTTTGAAAAAAGCATCAGCTACAAAATAAAAATACAGTTGCTGTGTTATCACTCCAGCTGTGATGGCAGTTGTGGCTGTGACCCACTGACTGCTCTGAGTTTGTTTCAAAGAGACCACAGAAAATCAACATGTGTTAACTGCAAAGAAAGTGGAGACTCAGTAGTCAAAATTTGTGATCATTCAAGTGATACTGCTGGTTTTTTTGAAAAGAAGTTCCCACATCACTCAAGACTTCAGAAATTATAATTCTTTGCTTAATGAGAGGACACCATTTTTCCAAATATTTTGCAGATACCGTTTTCTTAAAAGGCACACAATTTAAAATTGGTGTATCTAAAGAAATGCTTATGCCAGGAGAACAGGGAATCCAAAGTGTGTGGGGGAAAAGTGTATTAGATCATGCTAACTTGTTCACAAAATCATTCAGAGTAGGTTGTTGAAATTATAAGGAAATATGAACAACTTTAATTCTCGAAGTATTTACAGTCTTTAAAACTCAAACACTAATAGAATACCAGAACCTGAGGTATTGCTGGCTGCCCAGATAAAACGATTCTTCCCAAGAATCACAACATGGGAATTACAAAAACCATCCACCATTAAGGCCCTGACAAAAGAGCTATTAAGAGATTTTTCGTGACTCTTTATTAAGTCTCTAATCCTACCAAAAAACCACAATACCCCAATAACAAAACCACTTGACCATCAATTCCTCAGTTTATTCAGTTAATATTAACAAATTACAAGCAATATTTTACCTCTTAGCATATACAGGAGGCAGTCTAGGGCAAGTTCACAGAAAACTCTCTGACAGGAACATTCTTTTGCACTTTCTTGGCTACATTTCAAAATATCCAAGTCTTTGAAGCATCCTTCAGAATTAATACTGTATTTTAATTTTACAGGAACAGAGACTGAGGCCATGAAAACAAATTTTAGCAAAGAGAAAAAGAGAATTCTTGGTGAAAGCCAAGAGGTCTTAATGAGTGGGATGGGCATTTATTTCCCAGAGCACAGGTTGCTCTGGAAAAATTCATTTGAGCACATGAGACTCCAAGCAAATTTGATAAATATAGTACCAACCGATATCTAATTTAAGCTTATGAGGAATACCAGGGAAACATGTGCTTTGGAAAAACTGTAATTCTTCTGACTCTTACTTCTTTTCAGCATGAGTGCTGAAGCCCTTCTGAACTTCCCGGTGCTTACAACACAGACCCTTTCAGTCAAACTTCATACTTACTTTCATTCTGCAAATTTCTTTTGAGGTGAAATAATGTTGTTTATTTCTTTCAAACAAAACTAAGTTTACAGAGCTAACCTAAAGAAAGGCAAGTAATCTTTCTCTGACTTTTATTAGAACGAAAGCAGCAGCAGATGCTCATTCTAGCACAAGTAAATAAATCGCTGTTGCTTTCACAGTTGTCTCAGCAGAAAAAAAAAAGTGCATACCCCAGATCACCATATAATCAAAACATGTGACCAGACAAATGAAAAAAATCTGTCTCAGAAAATAGTCTGCATACCACAGTGCCCGTGTCTGTGCAGAAAGCACTCCTGCCTTCTAAGTTACTTCCTGATGGAACAGGAGTGATTTGTGCAGCAGTCTCTGCAATGAAAAAGAGCTTCAAAGCCCCTCATCTTAACTTCCTGCCTGCTCTTCCAGTAATCACAGTCCTAAATACTCTCCTCTAAACTTCTGCTCTAGCACAAAACCAAACCCTCTTATCTTCACTATGAATAACTGCAATTTCATTCAATTTATTCTTCTCGACCTGCTGCCACTGCTGCAAATGAGAGCTGCCTGCTCGTATTTCTTGAGCAGCTTCAGAGACATAAGCTCCCTCATTACACCTGCCACCAGGAGCAGCACGCCCAGCTCCTCTTCAGATGGCTGCTGCTGGGAATGAGAAGACAGACCTGTCCACACCCCTGGCAGCTTGCTGGGCCCTGCCCTTGCTGTGACAAGCTCCACTGTGCTTTCCTCTTTTTCCTCCATCAGTCACCACAGCAGTGACAGAGCTACCCCCTCCCTGCGCCAGCAGTGGGACACTGTGGGGCTCTTGGCCCCACACTGCTCATGTGTTTTCCTTGCCTTGTTCTCCCTGCCCTCCACACAACACAGCAAACAGCATAAAAGCAGTTAGTTGCATTATCTAATAAAGAGAAGGAGCATTTACTTTGGTACATCCAGCAGTGCCGGCAAAGGAGAGTATGTTCATTATGCTGCGAGTCCAGCCAATCTGTCCTAAGCTTAAAATGGTTGTTAGGCTGGAACACTGAAGGAGCATTCAGCCAAGGTACATGCCTTGTAGGAAGCAAAAATAAAGCAAATTCACATTACTGCAAAGGTCTTATTAGGGACTTTGCTAAAAACTAACTATCCTCCAAACACTACCACCCTATTCACTCGCAGAGAGGTGTCAGAGTATGTATCACATCTCTGAGGTTGGAGGAAAAGTTTATTAAATAGGGTGTCTCAGAAGTACTGTTTTCTTAATAAGCATGAAATAAGCATTGATATTTAATTCTGAATTACACTAATTATGATGTTACGAAGCAGTGCTTTCTCTGTATCTTTTAAAAGTCAATTTATAAAGCTATTACTGTAGAGATATTTCAAGAGAAAACCATACATCTGTTTTTTCTGGCTTCCAAAAGGTTTTTTCTGGCTTCAAAAAAGCACCGAAAACCCACAACGATGTTATGTTTTGATTAAAAAAACCCCAACAACCAAACATATATATAAAGTCTTCTGTTAAAGGATGCTGTTTTCTTATCTACCTGAAGTATGATACTCATTCTACAGTGAGCCACTGTTACATTGGATAAGGGGAGAGCAGCCTGTGCATTACAACAAATCATCATGATAAAGTCTTCCCAGATGGCTGTTAATATCTTGTGCAGTGCTCCGAACATGACATACTTCATGCTTCACTAAATTTATCCATTTGCAGCAGCTCCTTCATTTTGGTTGACCATAATCCTATAAATCTTTCTCCCCAGCATACATGCTGACCTCCAAGCTATGAAAACCAAGAATCTTGGATATCCAAGTCAGCAGTTCCAGTAATACTCTGCTACAGAAAAAACAAGTGAAGCTGCTGTTTTGCTGTTGCAAATATTCATGATGGTACATTTACACACACAATTATACACACATATATGGACCTCCATATATTTCTGTATAGCAGACTCTCTACATGTAAACATTTAGCTTACATTGTATGTGTTGCATCTATGATGGCCAATAAATCGGTATTAAATCAAGATTTCAGGCAAACAAAAAAAAAGAAGAACAAAGCCATGAAAAATGGGAAAATAATTAAGTTCCTTAAATCCAGTCTCAAAGAGCAGAAGGGAGTGAGTCTGACATACCTACACCAACTATTTATAGTCACAGATACAATTACACAAGGCTAAGTCCACCCAAAGGACAAAACCAGGGACCATGCGCCATCTTCTGTGACCACAACACCTTCGTGTCCTACAATACTGTCAAGATACTTTTAACACTCCAAAGATTTTGCTTCTACATCCAACAGATGTTGGAAATGTAATGAAGCCTTGTACTCCAGTGCAAAAAATTAATGAGAAGCAAGTGTGGGGTTTCTTGTTTCCTTTTTATTTTTTTCTGGTAAATAAATGAATGCATTTCTGTTTTGACAACCAAGCATTGCATACATTTGGAACTCCTTCTCCTCACATTGGTAAGGTCACTGGGAGAGTTTTGTCACATTGCTGAAAAATGTTTTTCCCTTGAGCTATTGAACATTCTCTGTCTGAAAACCCCTCTACACATCACTTCCAATCCAGAAACAACAAATAATTGTTTGAAGTAACAAAGATAAAAAAAGAAAATGAACGTGCTGCTTCTTGGTGAACTGGAATGTACTGTGTTATTTCATACGAGGTATTAGCTGCAGATAGAAAGGTAACTATGTGGATGGAGCTTGCTAGTGTTAGCTTTAGGAATAACTTGATTATAGATTGTGAGCATAGCCTGAGTACTTCCAGACAAAGGCACACAGAAGCATCAGTGGAAAGGAAGATTCATAGAATCATAGAATCATAGAATCATAGAATCATAGAATCATAGAATCATAGAATCATAGAATCATAGAATCATAGAATCATAGAATCATAGAATCATAGAATCATAGAATCATAGAATCATAGAATCATAGAATCATAGAATCATAGAATCATAGAATCATAGAATCATAGAATCATAGAATCATAGAATCATAGAATCTTAGGGGTGGGAAGGGACCTCGAGAGATCATCTAGTCCACCCCCCCTGCCAGAGCAGGGTCACCTAGAGTACATCACACAGGAACTCATCCAGGTGGGTTTTGAATGTCTCCAGTGAGGGAGACTCCACAACCTCCCTGGGCAGTCTGTTCCAGGGCTCTGTCACTCTTACAGTAAAAAATTTTTTTCGGATATTCACCTTGACCCTCCTATGCTCCAATTTACCCCCATTACCCCTTGTCTTATCACTGGTCATCACTGAAGAAAGCCTAACTCCGTCCCCCTGACACTCACCCCTTACATATTTGTAAACATTGATGAGGTCACCCCTCAGTCTCCTTTTCTCCAAGCTAAAGAGACCCAGCTCCCTCAGCCTTTCCTCATAAGGGAGATGTTCCACTCCCTTAATCATCTTCGTAGCTCTGTGCTGGACTCTTTCAAGCAGTTCCCTGTCCTTCTTGAACTGAGGGGCCCAGAACTGGACACAATACTCCAGATGTGGCCTCACCAATGCAGAATAGAGGGAGAGGAGAACCTCTCTTGACCTACTAACCACCCCCTTTCTAATGCACCCCAGGATGCCATTGGCCTTCTTGGCCACAAGGGCACATTGCTGGCTCATGGTCATCCTCCTGTCTACCAGGACTCATACAGTATGAACAAGAACACTAGATGCATAGATATTTTATTCTGTAATCAGTAAATGCAACACATACCACTCCCAAAAAATTAAAAAAAACACCTAAGAAATTTCAGCCTGCCT